TATATATATATATATATATATATATATATATATATATATATATATATATATATATATACATATTGTAAAACATATATACATAAACATATGTAATGGATTCATGCAGAATTCAATTAAATTTACAGTATAAACTTTTTTATATTATTTATTTTAAAATTTTTATGGTTAATTATTCAGTCATATGCAATCTGTGTGTATATACCATTTAGTTTTCATAAATATACAGTTTATATATTCATTTATGCATTTATGAATCTCTCTCTCTCTCTCTCTCTCTCTCTCTCTATATATATATATATATATATATATACAGTGGGTACGGAAAGTATTCAGACCCCCTCTGGAGAGACCTAAAAATGGCTGTCCACCAACGTTTACCATCCAACCTGACAGAACTGGAGAGGATCTGCAAGGAGGAATGGCAGAGGATCCCCAAATCCAGGTGTGAAAAACTTGTTGCATCTTTCCCAAAAAGACTGAATACTTTCCGTACCCACTGTATATATATTCACAGATTGTAGTGCTTGGTTTACACTAGCCGTGTCAGCACGAGCGCGAACAGCAAAAATGATGCAAATATTGAGGAAACGATGGATGGTTTTCAAGCTGAAGTAAAGTAAAAGACCGCTTCTTAAACCAGAGAAGGTGAACATGCTGGTATTCTTGTGTGTGTGTGGGGGGGGCATGCAAGCACTGTCACCGTTAGTTTTACTTTTCTTTTTGTTTTCATTTTGAAAAGCTTGTTATCTTTGCTGTTTACCTCACGTTACGCTATGGAGGCTCTCTCTTATTTGATTTGATTCCTCAGTGTTTGCTAAATGTTCTGTAATTTATTAGTTAGTATATAATACAGCATGTGGTGTGTGCCATGCCTCATCTTATTCGTTTTTGTTAATAAACGTTTTGTAAGCTAGTTTGTCATTGTATCTTAGTTTTATTGTTGTGCTTTTCAATTAAGAATACCAATGAATCCATCTTTTGTTTTAGTCTTACAAAGTGAAAGGTGTGTAGTTGTATGCAAGCAAAACAGACAATTATCTTTTCTTGTAAAACTTGACAGCAAGATTGCGAATTCGAAAGTGAAAGCACCCGAAGCCCGGCTTATAACACAGCAAAAGAGGGACTCCCCTTCACAAAATTCAAATCACAAATAATACTACTGATGAAAAAGAACGGGTTGAATGTTAACCACTTTCGTTTCCATACAACTATAACCTATTTTAAAAGTTCATCAGCATGCATTTATTAATCCCATGTTGTAGCGCAAAAAAATAAATAAATATTGCGACCAAATCATGAGCTCATGCGACCGACTGAGAAAGTTAGTCGCAAAAGAGCGACCAGTGGGAAGAATGAGTCTGGAGACCTGCCAATGCAACTCGTTTTTTTAAATGAAAAATGTACTCTGTGTGATTGGCTTTCCACCCTTTGTATTAAACTATGCATACATACATGATGCTGATTTGTTTATAGTTGTTAAGCAACTTAATTATAATTGGTTTATAAACATTATTTTAAACATTATGCACTTTTTTTCACAGATAGTCATGTTATCTTATGCTTCGAAGAAACGTGCATTAGTAATATTTTGCTCGATGCGCCCTCTTGTGGCCTCAGAAGAGAAGCCAAAAGCTTTTTATCACCATAACTGAAATTATGCATTTTAAAGCTGCAGTCTGTAAGTTTTGCCTCATTGTCGCCATCTCTGTTTGAAAACCTGGAATTGCAGCTGTGTGCGGAATTATCTTCCTTGTGTGGGTTGTGAGTCGGCGCGGCTCCAGCGCGGATTAATCTAATGTTCTGAAGAGTACGTGTGGCAGTCAGTCACCGCACCGGTGTGAATATGTACTGTACTAAGCAATCACTGATTCTAGCCTACGTCTTGGATTTTGACCCAAATAAGAAGTTTCACTGTATATTGTCATCTGAACAAGTAACAAGGCTGCCATGTTTATTCTGACCAACTGAGGGAAAAAAACCATTACCTTAAATCTCGCTACCAATGGTGATTAAATCTAAAGATCGGTTAGCTCATATCACATCAAACCGTTCAAGTTATTATTATTGCTATACTTTATTCTCAAATGATTAATGTTTACAACATCAGCATTGGTGACTATGAGTGTGTAGATTTCAATTTCTGCACAGTCTAAAATTTAGTTTTTCAGCCATTTTGACAGCCCTACTTCATTGTATTTAATGGACCTTTTTCACATTTCCGGGTTTTTCAGCAGCGGAAGTCGTCATAGTTGGGTAAACTTGAATAGCAGTGAATGGGAGAGTAGCACAAATATATTTTTTGCATTTCCATTTGCTCAGATAGCAAAAGAAAAGAGGATTTACGATGCTGAGGACCGTTAAGCGCGTCATCACAGTCTTGTGAAAAGGGTCCATTATGCATTCATGAACCTGTGTGTGTATAAAATTATGATAATGTATATAATAAAAAAATCTTAAAGCACATAGCTTGCACTGTGACAAAAGAAGGAAGATGGGTTGCCTTTTGTATTTGCTTTATTCAAAATGTCCTTTGTACACACAGCAACACAGTACAGCTAATTCCCAAACCTCTATTTGTACCAGGAGTCTGTAAAGGTGCTGATAATAACTTAAAAATGAACACTCCAAAGACGTATCCCTATACAAAAACACAAATAGAAAGAAGGCACAATGTATGTTCTCTCATTACACCAGGGTTCTACCCATAAATTATACAGATACATTCATTTACCTAGATTACGTCGTCCTATAAGGGCAAATGCACACGTGCTACACGTAGGATTACATAAGAGGTCCAGACATCTACATGTGCCTCTAGCTCTGCAGAACGACACAATCCTACAGTAACCTGAACATTCAAATAGACACTTTAAATATTTATAGCTGCAGAGGCAGGTGCGGGTCCTAAATGCGCACATACAATTACGGTCAAGGAGACGCTTTGGGTTTGCTCACAGATTTAAATTGTACAGACTGAGCTTAGTGTGAACATTTGAAACCTGGAAATAGAAACCGTATTAGAAATTCTAATACTGCATCCTACAGAGAAAACAAATCATGATGTTTATATATCTTCTATTGTTAATATAGAACAGCTTGAATTCTGTTTGTATATGAATGTATAGTAAATAGTGGTTAGATAAAAATGAATGCTAACCTACATTCATACCGACTCAAAACACAATGTTTACTCATTAAGTCACAGGCCAGCAGTGAAAAAATAAATAAATATAAAATTAAATAAAAGAAAATAATTTGTCATAATTGGCTAGTGGATCCCCTATACAAACACAGGATAAGAACTGTCAACGTCACCACAGAAAACAGTCCAAATATAACATACAATTTCTCAACAACTAACAAGATTGGCTTTGGTTTATAGAAAGGCATATATTATATACATAAACTGACCATCGGCTATGCGTTCTATGGGCCTCATTTATGAAACACGAGCAGAACAAATTTCAGTGTAAATCATTCTTACATAAATTGCCGTGTTCAATTCGATGTGACAATTCATGCAAGAATGGATTTATGAACTATCTACGGGAACATTTGTTCTGCGTGTTTAATGAAGGCGCTGTGTGCCCAACGGGGACCTAGAAGTAGAAATTATGCTGCATTTATTTTAAATTCCCCTTGTTAGCAGCAAAGGGAGGCTACTTTTGGTTGTGCAATTGTGCATTATTTAACTGGAGGGATATTTAGGCTTGATCTCACATTGAGTCATGTTCATTTGTTTGGGTCCAACCAAAGGACAAAAACAGGCAGAGCTGCAGGTCCAGACTGATGAACTAAAGACAAGTTGCTTCGCCCTAAACTGATGATTTCTCATCTGAAAAAAGGAATAAAATGTCTCTTTGTACAGTCCATTGTCTAAAACAGAGGACTAAGCACAGGTTTCAGTCAAGTTTTGGTCCAGGGTAGGAAGTGGTAAGAGATGAACATTTATATCCAGTGCAAAGTGCTCAATGTTCCTTCAGTCTAGAAAGGAACAGAAGAATAGACTTGTATCGTCAAAACTGTATTTATAAAAGTTAAGTAGTCCCCTGACTCTTTTGGCCATTGATTTGTAAGTGTAACAAAAGAACAAGAACAAAACAGCACTCACTCGACAGCAACTCCTGGCCGGTTCCTATGAGAGCGATGCTCCTTCATCACAAGTCTCAGTAAAAGCTGAAGAACATACAAACAATTGGTCTTTTTGTCATAACCGTGTGAATTCTTTAGTTAATTTATCACTTGTCTTAAAGCAACACTATGTAACTTTTTCTGTGTTCAAAATTTGCAAAATGTATATAATGAGCGAGTACATCATGAATTAATCTTCCAAACCGTGTTTTTGTCTTATTCCGAATCACTACGGTACACTTATAATAAGTACTTGTATTTGGACTATTGTAGCCTGATCGGGTCGTCACCGCTGCGGAGTAACACATACCTGCGTGAAACGCCATAGACATAAACTTAGAGAAGTAGCTCCGATTGGAATGTTCTTCCGCGGGATGTGTGCAGTTCTGTTTATTAATCACTAGAGTGCCAAAAGTTACATAGTGCTGCTTTAAAGGGTTAGTTCACCCAAAAATGAAAGTTAGGCTACGTTTTACACACACCCAGGGCATCCTAGGTGTATATGACTTTCTTCTTTCAGACGAATTCAGTCGGAGTTTTATTAAAAATGGTCTTTGATTCAAGCTCTATCACTGCAGTCAGCGGGTGTTGCATTGCTTCAGTCCAAAAGAAGGACTCCGACTGAATTCGTCTGAAAGAAGAAAGTCATATACACCTAGGATGCCTTGGGTGTGAGTAAAACACAGCCTAATTTTCATTTTTTGGGTGAACTAACCCTTTAAATATACACTGTGTTGTTAAAGTATATAATATATACACAGTTGTTTCCCTAAGGGGAAGTAAAACTAGTTTCTATTCTATGTTCCCATACTACAATTAATAGTAGTAGCTTCTATCCAGCTCCAAAAAGGCCCAAAAACCCATACGCATTACGAATAAGATATATCTGGTACTTCTGTTGTATTGACAAAGCTGCTCATTTTCAATTCTAGAAGTTTTAATAACTGAAGGTTCTTCCGGGTTTTTATTACTAATAAATATGTCTTTCCTAGTCCTTTGTGATTTGTGGGTTTCTGAAATGAATTTGAATCCACAAAATAACTTAACATAACTAGAAAATGTATATTCATTATGTGTTTAAAAAATGTATACAGTATAGAAATCAAATCACACTTTTAAAATTCCATCATATGACCATGAGAATCCTGTTTCTTTAAATAATAATGGCAGCTAACAAATAAAATAAGAAATGTGTCATCCTAAATCTATATTGTTAGCTACTTTAGGTTATCTAAAGCTTGTTTTAGAAGTCCTTTAGAAGTGTGTTGAGGCCCCCTAGTGGGTCCCAGATTCCTGGTTGAGAAGCACTTGTCTGGAAGTCTTCTGAAACTAGATACTAATACTAACTATGTGTGAGAAACAGACCAAAATGTAAGTCATTTGAAAATGCAGGACGGAGAATAAGATTTGAGAAAATGGTCTGAGAAAAACTACTGACATTTCAGCCTGTTTCTAAGATTGTATGGCTTCAGAAGTCTTGAAATGTACATGATTCTGGTATATGGACTACTTTTATGGTGTTTTTTTATTCTTTTAGGAGTTTATAGTGATAGTTCACCCAAAAATGAAAATTCTGTCATTAATTACTCACCCTCATGTCGTTCCAAACCCGTAAGACCTTCGTTCATCTTCAGAACACAAATTAAGATATTTTTGATTAAATCCGAGAGCTCTCTGACCTTCCCATAGACAGCATGGTTACTACCATGATCAAGGTCCAGAAACGTAGCAAGGAGATCGGTAAAATAATCCATGTGACATCAGGGGTTCAACTGTAATTTTACGAAGCTACAAGAATACTTTGTGTGCAAAGAAAACAAAAATAACAAAGATTCAAAGTTGTAGTAACCTTGCTGTCTATGCAGGGTCAGAGAGCTCTCAGAATTCATTAAAAATATCTTAATTTGTGTTCCGAAGATGAACGACGGTCTTACGGGTTTGGAACGACAAGAGGGTGAGTAATTAATGACAGCATTTTCATTTTTGGGTGAACTATCCCTTTAATAGTCTCTAGGATCTGTATGGGAAAAGCTGCATATAGGTTTTTTGGGGGGAAAAAACAAAGAAACACACAATAAACAATAATGCAGTCGGCATCTATTTCAACTCACCAGCAGTGCTAAAAAGTCTGCAGTCATGAGCATGTAAAAGACCTGATCCCAGCCTCGTGCTGACAGCAGCCCTGCCAACAAAGGTCCCACAGCAGCACCTGCAGAAGATGAAAGGTGCAAGAGTGACCTCTCTCAGCTCTTCATGACACAGCGCCACAATAAAACCTCAATGAGTGTCGGGAGATATGAGAATTATAACGCTCTTACCAACAGATCCAGTGCCGTCTATAATAGCTGTCACTGTAGACAGAGCCCTAGCATTGCCCTTCAGACTCTTGTGTGTGCCCTAAAAATATCAAATAATACATTAGAGAAAAACAGCATCTAACAGAAGAATAAGCTTATGATAGCGCAAACACACACTAGACCTGATAAAAGGCAGACAAACTCTCACCAAGTCAGCAGAGACAGCGGTTGTGATGAGAGAGTACGGTCCGTTGACTAAACCACCACACACAAGCAGCATGCCTTCATAGCAAATAACATACAAACATCAGACCATATAATTACTAAGAATAAGAATATAACAACACATAAAAGTTGGCATCAGCTGTTAATCTCATTAGTTCTCTCATTTGAATCAAAGCAATGGCGGTCAAAACTCTTATGTAACGCTGAAAGGCAACATTAGGATTAGATGTCTTACCAATAGTGGGACCCAGCCCAAACTGACTCATCATAGAGAAGCCGTAGAGCTATTAAAAACACACACACATACACAAACCACTGTCAATGGTGACACAGCAAAGAGCCTTTAAATGCACAAGCTTCCTGTATTTGATCAGCAGAATGACATACTGTGGGCGCAGCCAGCAGAAGCATCACAGCACAAGTGGTGGCCCTCTTTCCCAACTTATCAGAGAGCACTCCAGCCAGGATCCCACCTACACACACACACACACACACACACACACAAACACTTAAGGGTCGTGATTTGATTTTGCATTACTCTGCACTGCTTTATCATAGCACTTCTATGTAAACATGAGGTAGACAAACGAGTTTGATTGTCACAGACTACCATCTTTTGTAATATTATAAATGTCTTTACTGTCACTTTTGCTCATTTGAATACATCCTTACTGAATAAAATACTAAAAAAAATCTGATTAAAGCCAAACCTATTAATAGTAGTGTTGATAACAGTAGATAGTTTTGCTTGGTTAGCAGTGGACAGAACAGTTTTACGCCATTTAAATATTTGAGTGATAAAGAAACATGGATTCATATGAAAATACAAGGTCATCGTTAAGTCAAGATAAGGAAGAACTTGTTAGTATAGGGGTTTTATGATGACACGTCACAATTTATTTCATTATTAAAGAAAGCAACCGATGAGTGGTCACAGATGTGTATATCAACTATTAATGCCCACCCCAAATACTAAACATTAAAAAAAAAACAGGACTGATAAATCTACATACCAACAATGCCTCCCACATCAAACAGAGTTGAAAGGTCTCCAGCTTTCTTGGCATCAAGGTGAGCTGAGAAACAGGAAATACATCTTAGTCACTGTGCTATATTAAAGAAATAGTTCCAAGATGAGTTTGTTTCTTCATCGGAACAAATCTTGAAAAATTTAGCCTTATATCACTTGCTCACCAACGGAAACGCTGCAGTGAATGGGTGCCGCCAGATTGAGGTAGGACTGGTCCGAATACCATTTTTTGAGCTTCGAAGCTTCAGTAGTAATCAACACCGAATATTCAAAGTTTCGGAGGGAGGGGGCTGAACATATTCTTCTCTCTATTAAAGGCAGGAATCTCTGTGTGTCTGTCTGTCTATTTACATTTTTATTATGTCAAGAACAGGGTTGTGACGGTGAGGAATTTTTCCCACCGGTTAATCGACGCGTGACATCACCGTGGGGGCAGGGGCGTTTCCTCTTTTCCTCGCTTTTAAATAGCTCGCAAAAGCGGCGTGCACATTTTACTTTCACTTTCAAATAGCGGCAATTCGGCGATTCATATTCAAGCGCGAATGAGAAACGTTTCGGCAGGGGGATGCCAGGTGTTCGAAAAAAGAAAAGAAAAAAGAATAGTCGAATATCAAAATTGAAAATCTAATGCCAACCCACCGAACAGATATTCGAATAATCGAATATTCTGGCCCAGCCCTAGATTGAGGCATCAATTTATGTCTTGTGAAGTGAAACACTGCATTGTTTGTAAGATATTCGAATAATCGAATATTCTGGCCCAGCCCTAGATTGAGGCATCAATATGTCTTGTGAAGTGAAACACTGCATTGTTTGTAAGAAACAAATCCATCATTAAGGCATTTTAACCTTAAACCAATGCTTCTGACCAAAATATGAGCCCGTAATCCAAAATAACTAGACCAGAGAAAAAGTCCATCTCCTGTTGTCCTCTCACATCAAAATCCAACAACATATTTGTTTAGAACTGTTTTAGACTGTTTTCACTTGTAAACAGAGCTTTATCTGTGCATATTTCTCTCCTGATTCAGACGAAATTACTTTTTTTACTGGACAAAGCATTATTATGGATAGAGGACTCATATTTACATGTACATATTGGATTCTTATTCTGACGGCACCCATTCACTGCAGAGGATCCACTGGTGAGCAAGTGATACAATGCTAAATTTCCCTAAATCTGTTCTGATGAAGAAACAAACTAATCTGCATATTACATATTGAACTACGCCAGCGCGCGTACACATCTCGCGCATCGGATGCCGTGTGCGCGCTCAAGGAAGTTGGACATTGCGGTGAAACGGAGGTAAAAAATTTTTATATAAATACTGTTCGTTTTCTGGCACAAACCGATCGTTTCGTGTCTTAGGACATCAATAAACCGCAGGGTTTAATTTGGATTTGTCTGTGCATGTTTTTTTTTACCATCATAGATTTTGTTACCATTGCCATGCATTATACGACTGATAGACTGCAACGGTTGGACTTAAAAATCATAATTTGTGTTCTACTGAAGAAACAAAGTCACCTACATCTTGGATGCCCTGGGGGTAAGCAGATAAACATCACATTTTCATTTTTGGATGAACTATCCCTTTAACCACCATACCAAAAAAAATAAACTACATCAGGAGACCTACAGAAATCAAGCATTTGTGGTCACAATATCACTGAAATTATGAGATCTCATTAAATGTTGCAAGTTACCTGTTTTAGTGATGTAGAGGGGAAGCCAGAAGAGGAAGGTATAACTGACCAACTTGGCAAACAGCAGACAAAGAGAGAACTCCACCACTCCCTGAAAACACACAGCAGGAGAAACTTCAGTGACGCTGTAACACACGCTGAGTGATGGACAGACGGATGGGCCGCACTCACAGGAATGCGCAAAGCTCCCATGAAGCTGATGGCTGACGGTTCGGCCTCGCTCTTCAGCACCACCACCTGCTGCACAGGAACACACACTCCAATACTCTCCTGTCCCAGAAGCAGCTCTGTGTCCCAGCTCTAACAACCACAGCAGACAGGACAGTAAAATATCTCAATTAATACTTCTAAAGGAGAGACGGATAGAAAAATACACAGTGAGACAGTGAGGTGAACAAACCTGTGCTTTAGCTCCTGGCTTGTACTGCAAGTAAATGTCTTTATGTCCATTCACACCATTCCAGTTTTTATGAAGCTTCTGATAAAAAACATAAGAGTTCATGTCACATTGACAAAAAAAAGAGCAATGCATAGACAGGATATATTCTGCATTTATTTGTTATATTAATTTTATTTTATTATCATGATAACACCGGACACATGGGTAGTTGAAATTACATTTCATGACATTTTCCCTCTCTTTATTTAGTAATTAATTTATTTAATTAGACATTATGAAGGGCCAAATAGGCAATGGTTATAAAAAAAAAACGGAATATTTATTTATAAATACTGAATATAGTTAGAATTCTTAATATGAATGTAAATCCAAATTTATAATCACAAACTGAATAGATACAAAACAGAATTTATAAAACTAAATCCAAACATTTATTTATAAATTTTGAATATAAAGAAATAATTTTGAACATATAATTAAGTACAAATATATAGTTATAAGTCTTAATACGCAGATACAAATCTGAATATATAAATCGAAATCAAACCATGCATTTATAAATTCATGAAAATATAGTTATAATAAACCCTGAATATATATATTAATACATTTGATCAGGCATATTGAAGCTTTTTATATTTAACTAAGCCAAACAAGCTCAGACGTAATATAATTACTTCCTGTTTGGTCCTTCATAATGTATGCAAACATTCATTTAACAACTATTAAATAATACATGTTTACATTATAATAAAAAAAAGAAGAAAAGGAATATTTCAGCTTTTAAATATGTATTTGTCATACCCTGAAAAAAAACAGGTGATATCAAAAAGTTGAGTAAAAGTGGCGAGGAACTTAATAAAATGGTAACAAGTTACAGAATGAAAAGATTTCACTAAACACCTGTTAGAAAAAAAAAAAGGTTTGTGTCTATGTCCATGTCAACTACCAATATATTATATATCTAAATGCTAAATATTTGCATATATTTCCAATAAGTGCATCTGGTGCTAGTATCATTGACCCGATTCCCAATTCACTCTAGAGGGGTAGACAAAAATACTGTGGCGTAACACCTCCTAAATTGCAATTAATTAATCGCTATGAATATTTAAGGATGCTTTAGAAGCAAACCAAGAGGTATTAGCGTAAACAATGACAGAGAATCAAGAATTATGCAGCGGCAAGCTGAAAAAAAAAGTGAAGTTTCTTGAATTTGATTAATTCCTCCTCCACAGTCAAATGAGGAAAAGAGGCATCAATCTACATTTGCTCCTGCTGTCGCCCCCTTCCTCCATCCCTAACGTCTCTGTTACTCCTGATTAGCCACTCCTCCTGAATCACATCAATCTGATGAAGCGTTTCAGAAATGTGAACTCTGCCTGTGTTAGAAGAGCACCTCACGCCCTACTGAGACTCGCAGGTGTACGCATCACAGCGCCGCTGTCATAGCGACTGCTGTTGAGCATGAGTGCGTCATGTTATCAAAACCAATCTTTTCCTCAGACCGCTGGGAAAAGACATTAACACACAGACTATGAGACTCTCTCTCAGGTTTTGTTTAGATATATTGCAAAAATAGAATTTTTCTGCATACAGTGGGGAAAAAAAGTATTTAGTCAGCCACCAATTGTGCAAGTTCTCCCACTTAAAAAGATGAGAGAGGCCTGTAATTTTCATCATAGGTATACCTCAACTATGAGAGACAAAATGAGAAAAAAAATCCAGAAAATCACATTTTTACCGAGGAATTTATCAATTAATTCTTTAAAAATCCTACAATGTGATTTTCTGGATTTTTTTTCTCATTTTGTCTCTCATAGTTGAGGTATACCTATGATGAAAATTACAGGCCTCTCTCATCTTTTTAAGTGGGAGAACTTGCACAATTGGTGGCTGACTAAATACTTTTTTGCCCCACTGTATCTGATTCAAACTAGTTTTGTTTTTGTCACCTGAACAGCAAAAAACAAATTTTTTAGACCCCTGTCTAAAAAAACTAATTAGATTAATTCGCCTGCAAAATTACAGAGCAGACCTGTCATTCCTGAGAGACTGGATTGGAAACCCACATTGGATTTGTGTACAGTATGAACAAAGCCTTAAAGGCATATACTAATACTACTGTTCAAAAGTTAGGGGTCGTTACGTTTTTTTTTTTTATGTTTTTGAAAGAATTATCTTATGCTCACCAAAGCTGCATTTATTTGATCAAAAATCCAGTATAATATTGTGAAATAGTTTTTCAATTTAAAACAACGGTTTTCTGTTTGAATATATTTGAAAATGTAATTTATTCCGGTGATATAAAGCTGAATTTTCAGCATCATTCTAATATGCTGATTTGCTATCAAATATCATTATCAATTAAAAATAATAATAATAATAATAATAATTTACTGATCCAAATTTCACAATAGAGTATACATTCATTATATTCTTGAATGCCAATATGACTGGAAATGAAACTAAATAAATGGTGGACTAACCTGACTGCTTGAAGCTGAGCTCTGTGCACTGGCAATCCTCAGATCATTAGGGTCTGGAGATGCAGAAGCATTCGCATCAAAACCCATCAACCACTTTGAGACAATTTTTCACCTGGATACATTTGCACAAATAAATAAGACATTCACTTACGCTCTATTAGAAAGAGGAAGCAGATGACTCCCATAGCAGCGATGATAACTCCGGGGACGATGAAGGACAGACCCCAGTTAGAGGAGACATAATATCCAGCGATCAAAGAGCCCAGAATGTTGCCCACTGATGTGTGAGAGTTCCACAGACCCATGATGAGGCCTCTCCTGACACCACAACACGTATGCAACATTTATTTGGGTGGTAATCACAGATCTGTTATAATTTGAAGTGTATAAAAAAAGAGCAACTAACAGCATAAGCATTGCTTCATCTCAAGCATCTGAGCAAATGAAAACACCGAATGCTCATGTTTAAAGCGGTGTTATCGATTAGAGTTGTTTTATCAATTTTTACATTTATGTTTTATCGAGTATAATGTTAGTGGAAAGTGCAATGCTTCTTACCTTCCCTTGCCAAACCAGTTGCCAATGCAAGTCACAACACTAGGCCAACCAGTGGTCTGAACTAAACCATTGGCCACCTACACACAAAAAAATAAGAGGTACTGCTTAATGAAAATATTAGAATGATTTCTAAAGAATCATGTGACACTGAAGACTGGAGTAATTCACTTTGCATCACAGGAATAAATTACATTTTAAAATATATTCACACAGAAAATTGCAGCAATCTCACAATATTACTGTTTCTACTGTATTTGTGATCAAATAAATACAGTCTAGATGACCATAAGAGACTGCTTTTGTATGACACCCACCTGAACAAATATATAGAAGCCCAAGCTATGGATGTCATAGATGTATCCCAGTCCAAACAGACAGGTGAAAAGACCACTGGTCAACATGCCCACAGTCAGGTACAGGCGAATGGGCAAACGCTCTCCAATTATTCCACTGAAAAGGTTGTATTAAGAATATTAGCAACAAAAAGTAAACATTTCATTTTGGGGAGTTAGTTCAAACTGTTCAGTAAGTCTATTCAAAACTTGATTTAATAGTGCGATTAAGGGGTGTGCATGTCTATACTGCACTTCAGTAATGCGACTAAAATAGGAATACTCCACATGTCTTAATTCGATTTCTGTATACTTCAAGTATGACTTTAGCCGGATTAAGGTAATCAAAAATCTGTTTACATGGTAGATTCTTAATCAGAGTATTGTCTTAATTATGTTAAAATCTGAATATTTTTGTAAACATACTGAATGCTTTGGTGGAACAGACATCTCTCAGGGTTCATTAAAATATCTTCATTTGTGTTTTATGGGTTTGGAATGACATTAATTGGCGAGTAAATGACAGAATTTTCATTTCTAGATTTCTGAAAATCCCTCCACTTTTTAAGCCATTTTAGTGAAAATCCATCAATATTTAAGTGTTTTGTATCTGTTCTTACCTGAGATACATGCCTATGGCGTAAGCACACAGGAAAGAGTAATCCATTGCTCCAAGCAGCTGCTTATAGTTATTTCTGTCTATAGGGACAGAAAAACAGAGATGCCAAATATTTAATGCATTGGCTGAAAGTGACAGAAACACATACTGCTATAAATATAATATAGTATAAGATCTAAATCTTACCGAATGGTTTCCAGCTGCAGTCTAGTTCTGGGTGGAGTACAGGCTGCTGACTGCTGCTGCTCTCTGTAGGCGCCTCCATCACATGAGAGCAGTTCTTATGCAGCTCACTCTATATGAACACACACATATACATTTAGACAAGGCTGACACAGGGCATAGACAGCATATTAAAGGCATAGTTCACCCAAAAATGAAAATGGCCCAATGATTTACTCACCCTAGGGCTGCACAATTAATCGAATTTCTAATCGCAATTACAATTATGGATGCCACAATTACGTAATCGTTCAAAGCGGCAATTAATCGTTCAAAGTCCACTTATGTTATTCTGCACGCTTAAGATATGTTTTTTTCTTTCTACATGTTATCTTAAGGGTTTTTTCATTGTTTTAGTTTTAGTATAACATTATAATACCATTCATATTTTAACTTTTTTTTATAATTTAAATTAGAAACCAATCCGATGTACAAAGTAGTCTATACAACCCATGTGTTTTATAAGCGATGTAATGGTAATACATCTATTTAAACTACAAAGCCTTTTTACTTTAAAATGTACTTATAACCAGTAACCACCATGATAAATGGGTGAAAACTAGATGATGAACAAGATAAGCACAAGTCATACACACACAAAACACCATCAGCGTAGCACACAACAAAAAATAATGAAATAAAAATAAGAAAAAATGCTAAATGCATCCTTTATATAAAATATGATCATATGACGTGTCATGCAGAGTTTTTGTTTTACCATAAATTATATGGTAATTCATAGTTTACTTGCAAAAAACATACATTTGACAGTATTTTACATTAAGTGGGTTACAATTTCATAATATTTTAAAGCATTTTTTACAGTATTTTTACAGTGCATAAAAAGTCTGTCTGGTTTAAAAGAAACTTCCTGTAACTCTACCTGCTAATGCAGCAGGGCAGAAGTTAATATCATTTTTTGAGGTTTATTTAAAATTCATAAGTATTATAACACACCTAGTGTAGCCTGTGTGTTGCTTTAAAGAAACTCACTAAACCGGATTTTTCACGATCCATCCTGACACTGCGTTGATGACGCAGGAATGCAACAGAACGTAAGCTCTGATTAAACACAGACAGGTCTGTATACATTTTTACATGCGTCTAATTCAGCTTCCATGGGCAACAGAGAGAACGACTTCTTGGTTTAGTACAAAAAAGGAAAACGCTAAATGTCTAATCTATTCTATACTATTCTCCAGCACAGAGCAGCTTTATCAATGCCTGCTTAGCAGACCCAGACACAATCTTAAGATTCTTCTTATTTTGGGGGGAAACAGGTGGAATTCTACAGAATGGATGCTAAAATGTGTTAAACATATACCCTCATTGATAGCTGAAACCACAGTCAAATTTACTAAAATATTTCATAAACAAATATTCAAAGGCTGGGACGTGTGTAGAATAACAACGAAAGATGTTCCAACTTTAAACCAGAAATTAGGGCTGGGGTAATTAATTTTATTTATTTTTAATTATGACTTTTGCTTTTCAACAATTATAAAAACAAGGTTATATGTATATGTATATA